CCATTGCCGGGAGGTCGCAGTTAAGGGGTTTCGAACCCTCTGGGCTTTAAAAAGGACATTCACTAAGCTTGATACTACCATGTTCACCACATTATACACATCCTTAGTGAGAACTAAGTTAGAGAACTGTGTTCAGGCTGCAAGCCCCTGTTTAAAAGGTGACTCAGACATACTAGAAAAGGTACAGAGGGCAGCTACGCGTGCAATTCCGGAACTCCGGGGTTTATCATATGAAGAGCGGCTTGAAAAACTGAACCTCTTTACTCTGTCCTATCGCAGACTAAGGGGAGATCTAATATTGATGTACAGAATACTGAGAAATGATTTCGGACCTAACTTATTCTCTCTCTTTCTTCCCACTAGATCGGGACACCTCAGAGGACATAGCAGGCGAGTAGAAAAGACAAGAACGAACAAAATACCCGTGGCATACAGGTTTTCACACTGAGTCATCAATACTTGGAAACTGCTGCCTGAAGCAGTGGTGTCCGCACCTTCAATTGACCCTTTCAAGAGAAGACTGGACACTCACAGAAGCATACTAGAAAAGGAATAACATAGGCGAGCGAATTCCCGTCTAGTTGATGTTAAATTTAGTTCTCGTGAAAATGTCAGTCATATTCCGACCAGTCGAAAAGCAGTGCGTGAGCAAACCTGGTCATCCTTCTTATCCCAAGATGTTTGTACATTGTCCACTTCTACTCTGGCCATTTGCTTAATGCAAACTTACGTTTTTCATTCTTATTCCTGAATGAGATTATGCTCACCAAATCAGTCTTCATGACTATCGTAAATGGCTGACTGACTAACGTTTTCCGTCATTTTACTCCTTACTTTCATCATCGTTCTCAATAATCACATTGATTTCAAACATACATTCTTGATTGATTTACAGCCACGTGACTCGATTGACTTTTTCGATTCAAATTTGAATGGGAATAGTCTAAACGTATTTTATTTATTTATTTGAACACATAAATATTGGTACAAGAGAGCGCCAATATATATGCGCCACACAAAACAATGGGAATTCGAAGAGAAGTAGAAAAAAAACTAAGGAACGCAAAAGAAAAAGAGAGTAATGACGAAGAGGTACAATCAGAAGAAATCTTTCAGGTAAAGGAGACACAACCACTTTTTATGAAGAAAGTAAAAGAAGGTTACAGCAGGATCGCCACTGGCTTCTATTCTGAGCCATATCTGATAACGTCTCTAGCCACTGTGTAGCACCATCTCTCGGACCCCAACCAGGGAGTCGTGAAGGACCAACACAAGCCAGTCCTTTGCAGCTTTCTTTCATGCCACGACACCATGTCATGCACTGACCACCTCTCCGCTTCTTCCAACCAGTCCCAGAGTCGGCAAATAATGCACGACGTGGAATTCTCTGGGACGACATTCGGAGAACATGTCCAAGCCACCGAAGTCGGTGTTTCAAGATGGTGACACCAATTGAGTTATCATCTCTGTGCCCGAACACACGATGCCGAACCTCTGCATTACTGACATGGTGTTGCCACTGAATGTCAGCAATCCTTCGGAGACAGCGATGATCGAACACAGAGAGTTGTCTAACGTCCTCAACTCGGAGAGGCCAGGTTTCACAAGCATAGAGCAAAACTGCTCTCACCGACGCGTTGTAGATCCGGCCTTTTACAGCCAGACTAACATCACGAAGGCGCCATAGATGGCCCAGATTGGCATAAGCCGCTCTGGCTTTCACTATTCGTGCATTGATCTCATCACTCACACCCCCACCAGCACTTATGCAGCTACCCAGATACACGAACTTCTCAACTACGTCTATCTGCTCACCGTCCAGGGTGAGTACAGGATTAGAATCCTGCCAGTCTTGTAGAAGTACTTTGCACTTCGAAGGTGCAAAGCACATACCATACCTACGGACATTGATTGCCAACTGATTAAGTGCGGATTGCATGCCTTGGGCATTATCGCACAGTAAGACAATATCGTCCGCATACTCAAGGTCGAGAAGTCTTTCTCCAGGCAACAGATCCACACCACCATTACTTACATTCATCAGAGCTGTTTCCAGAATGTCATCGATGGCAAAGTTGAAGAGGAATGGTGAGATTGGGCAACCCTGCCTAACCCCACTGCTCGAATGGAACAATGGAGAGAGGTGGTTGTATGCCCTCACTCTGCCTGAGGTGTTTTTATACAGGGCTTTTAGGATGTTAATAAACTTCTCAGGCACACCCTTCTTCAATAGACAATCCCAGAGAACAGTCCTATCCAACGAATCGAAGGCAGCCCTGATGTCAAGAAACACTACGATTGTTGGCCTTTGAAAAGTATGGCGGTGTTCTAACATTTGGCGGAGGGTGAAGACATGATCAATACATCCTCGACCAGAACGAAACCCAGCCTGCTTCTCGCGAGTCAATCTTTCTCGGGTTTTGAACAACCTACGAAGAATGACGGAAGCCAATAGCTTGGACGCAATCGGAAGTAAACTTATCCCCCGATAGTTGTTACAAGAACGACGTGAACCCTTTTTAAAGATAGGGACAACTATCGACTCATTCCATGACGTTGGTACACTCTCTAGTTCCCAAACCTTTGTAAACAACGTCGTCAATTCCTTAGTCAAAAAGTCACCACCATCTTTAAAAAGAGCCGGAGGTAAGTCATCTGGGCCAGGTGATTTGTAACGCTTCAAGAGTTGGAGTTCCTTGCGGACTTCCGCCTCATTTGGTGGATCAGTCGTCACCGGCCATGGAGAGCAGGACAGTCTGACCGATGTTGCCGGAGCAGCAGGCCAGTTGAACTGCCTTTTGAAAAATTCTGCCCACCGTCCAAGACGTCGATGGATGTTAGTGATTGGCATCCCATCATCCTCGCAGATTGTTTCACTCACACCAGACTTCTTGCTGCCAGTGGCTCGGATGAGTTGGAAGAGCTTCCGGTAGTTACCAGATGCAGCTGCTGCTTCCAGCTCATTAGCACGCATCGACCACCAGGCTTCTCGGTCCTTACGCAAGCTTTGCCCGATTTCCTTACGTAAAATCCTTCGTTTATGGTCAAACTCACGGTTACCCGGAGTAGACCGACGGGCTTCAATGAGTTGTAAGGAACCTGCAGAAACCCAGTGCTTAAAAGCGGGACGTTTCGCAAACCCACAACTGACTGTTCCCGCCATTTTCATGGCGTCATGCAATTGCAACCAATGCTCATCTATACTTTTCGGTGGAGTGGTAGCTAGCCTAGAGGCTAGTTCGGTTCGATACTTACTTGCAACAGAAGTTGCAACCAGCTTGCTAACATCAATCCGTTGATGGCGTTCACTTCGTTGTCCACTGAAAAGTAAGGCAAGATTGGCGCAGACCAAGGCATGGTCAGAGTCCAGATAGGTACTCCAAAAGGAGCGGCAGTCTTGTACACAACCACGCCAGCGGTAGCTGATCGCGATGTGATCAATCTGAGTCCAGGCTTGAGATGCAGAGGGAGGACGCCAGGTGGCACATCGGCGATGACTGTGCCGAAAGTTAGTGCTAGCCAGAAACAGGTTGTGGTCTGTGCAAAGTTGCAGTAGACGGTCCCCGTTATCTGACCTGCGACCAACGAGTCCCCATCGGCCACCTAAACGACTCTCTTCTGTGCCTAGACGCCCGACCTAAGCATTCAAGTCTCCGGCTAGTACTACAATATCTGTCGAACGCACTTTCTGGAGAAGAACTGATAACTGGTGGTAAAACTCATCCTTGATTGCATCCGGCCTGCAATCTGTCGGAGCATAGGCGGAGATGACGAAAAGACATCGTTTCTCACGCCGATTTCTTCTCACTTTGATGGAACTTTCTAATCTAACAGCACATAACCGACTGTTAATGGGGATCCAATCGACTAGTGCTGCCTCAGCTCTAGCGCTTAGTGCGACACCAACGCCAGCAAGACCAGACGAAGATGCTACAGGGTCCCCGGATAAGCGCACGTAAAACAAGCTTTTCGAAGCGACAGATGGAGATCGAATTTGTAGTACTTCACCAGAGTCTTGAATACGGGTCTCGGATAGACAACAAACATCAATATTAAGACTTTCCAAAGACATAGCCAGCCCTATCTGTTGTCCGACCTGCATAAATGTGCGAACGTTGAAGGCAGCCAGTTTGAATGATGCACGTGGTTTCAGAAAATCTGCTTCAGTCCTCGTATTCGGTGGTAACATACAATTTTCAGCCGGACAGTGATTCGAGAACGTTTAGATACAGTCGGAATTCCACCAAAGACGAGCCGCTGTATAAGTATAAAAGAAGGTGAATAATGTGGAAGATAATAATAATAATGATAACAATAACAATAATGACAATAATAGTAGTAATAATAATATTAGTATATATAATATCAGTCTAGAGCGATGATAATCAGTTTGTAAAAACGCATTTGCCGAGCGGTCTCATTGTAAAACGCTCGCAAAAAAATAGTTATATCGATGAACAACAATATGGATTCCGGAAAAACCTGTCTCAATGACTGTTATTATCACTATTACTACTGCAACTACTACTACTATTGCTATCAATATTACCAATGTGATTACTATTACCATTGCTACAATTACCACTATTATTGTTACTACAATTGTTGTAATTATTATTATTATTATCATTATTATCCAAGACAACCTACTCATTATCATGAACAAATGAAAGGAAAAACCACGGTTTTACATGGCGAATCCACATCATCAAAGCAAAAAATGTCAAACAATAATGTCAAGCTGTGTAAAACCAGAATATGTTTAAAACGTCCAGGTCAAACAATCAAAAAGCCTGGACGTCATGTACATTTTGCAATATAAAAAATGAAGATAAATTTTCTAACTACTCACATTTGTGTTTTTGATTGTTTTACCGGTCGATAGTGTATGGGGTATCGTACGTGTTACTGTGCGATGAATGTAAATCGCATGGAATTCTCATGAATAATAAATTCCAGGGAGTCGAATATTTCAGAGCACAGATTGTAAGAAATCTTGACTACTGAGCGTTCACGACAGTATTTGATCTCGGATAAACAGAAGCAGCAATAGTAGAAATAGAAGTAGTAGTAGTAGTGGTATTAGTATTAGTAGTAGTGGTAGTAGTAGAATTAGTATTAGTATTAGTAGTAGTAGTAGTAGTAGAATTAGTAGTAGTAGTAGTAGAATTAGTAGTAGTAGTAGTATTAATAAAATTAGTAGTAGTATTAGTATTAGTATCGGTAGTAGTAGTATTAGAATTAATAGTAGTAGTATTAGTAGTAGTAGTAGTGGTAATAATATATGTAGTATTATTAGTGTTATTATCTGTATTAGTAGCAGTATTAGTAGTAATAGAACTAGTAGTAGTAGTATTGGTAGAATTAGTAGTAGTAGTAGCAGTAGTGGTGGTAGTAGTAGTAGTGGTAATAGAATTAGTAGTAGTATTAGTATTAGTATCGGTAGTAGTAGCAGTATTAATAGTATTAGAAGTAGTAGCAGTAGTAGTAGTAGTAGTAGTAGTAGTAGTAGTAGTAGTAGTATTAGTAGTATTAGTAGTAATAGTAGTATTAGTAGTAGAAGTCGGAGTAATATTGTTAGTATTAGTTTTTGAGTTAGCATTTGTTCTCATAGCAGCAGTTGTGGTATTGTTATTAGTATTATTATTATTACGAATATTAACTTACTCAGTGAATTTCCTCCATGAATGGATGTTCATCATCTACTCTTATTGGACCACTTGATTTTATTGGTTTTTGCAACCACTTAGGTACATGTTCGCACACCCTAATTTGGAGATCACGATTACTCCTCCACATGTATATGTGGCCACACACACACATTCAAATCGATAAACACAGTGGCATGTGACTCAATCACTTCCGTGTGTTTTACATTTTCGCTGAGACATGGACATTGTTTTCTCTTTCATAAAGACCTTTGCTGCGTAATACGTCCTGTTAACAACTTATTTGAGCCTTTGTTTCAGTAAAAAGCTATTTGAATCACCTCCAAACCGAAAAATGATGTAGACAGGTTCCTTTCTGCCAAGGTTATAGTAGGCCTTAGTATACCGTGACCTTTCCATCTATTTATGGATTTTAAGGGATAGCCAGTTTCCACTAATGTTTTGTTTAACAACCTAACGTCGTCATCCATAGCGCCGTTTGTGCAAACACGATTAATCCTATTAAACAGACCGCTCATCGAACCTCATCTGTATTGCACTGGGCAGTAACTATTGTGACTAAGGTATTGGCCCGTCAACGTTGGTTTTCGAAAGATGGATCGTCTGCTTGAACCATCTTCTCGTCTACTTGTTAGCATGTCTAAGAAGAGAAGCCGGTCATTCTTCTCCTCTTCACATCAAAGGCTGATGTGATTTCGCAGAGTAATAAGTCTACTCAATAAACAATTCATTTCGTCCTTTCTTTCACAGATAACTAAGGTGTCATCTTCATATCTCTTATAAACAGACATGTTTACGACTAGGTCTTCAGCTAGATTTGCAACATGTGTTATGAACACGTCTGCTATTAATGGTCTAATGGACCAACCATAGCAACCAGTCGATCTGGCAAAACTATTCACCTTCAAATATGAACTGGACGTTGTCAGTACATAATAGTGCTAAATCTTTAAGAATTTCTAAAGGAACAGGTAATTTTTCAAGGCTGTTCAAAGAAGTGTGGTCACATAATATATCAATAGTCGTTTTCAGAGGTATATTTGTGAACAGGGAATTCACGTCAAATGAACACATTGTCTTTCTCTCGATATTAATATCACATAAATGATCGACCAAGTCAAAAGAATCGTTCACAGAATACTTATATAAACGTGTTCCAACAGGATCCAGTAATTTAGCTCGGTTATGTGTAGGTGATCGACGCACTGATAAAATTGGGCGTAAACAAATGTTTGGTTTGTGCATTTTACGTAATCCACGTAAATGACCATACTCAGAACCAATAGGTTCCAGGAAATTAAATTCCTCCCTACCAATAATATTCATGTGTAGCAGCTTCACTATGTTTGGATTTATTCTTCCCTCTACTTTGCTAATACCTGCAAATTCACCATCAGGCATAAATTTACTTTCATCACTGAGAATCGATAATGTCTTACCTTTACATCCACATTTGTTCTTGACAACCACGCCGGATCTTTTATCAGGCTTTAACAAGACAATATCAGGGTTCGTTCGTACTTATTTTAGTGACTTAAAATACTGAATAGTTAATATGCTTCTCTGCTTTGGTCCACGATTAAGCAATTGGTGGGCTATATCCAACAGTTTACATTGGCCTCAGCTTTGATTATTTAGAGACGTAGGGGTTAGCGTACTCAGTTGATCCAGTATCCGACACTGGATGTCAATTAGTCAAGTAAGAACAGGTGAAATCCCACATCCACATAAAAACTAATTCATGCCCTCTGCTAAACCAACAAATTCGAACGTCACACGGATAAATATTCATCAAACTTTAGTTATTTCTACTGGAATTCAATAAGTATTTCGCTTTTATTCACTTTCATTACTAACATGATTGTCTGTGGATTCGAAACGGTCTAACGAATTACCAACAATCTCAAATAGCCTAGAACTTCCACAACACCCAATCAAGAAGTACAATTCTAATTAGTCACAACAAAACTGTATTGGATAATTATGACAGATTAAAAGACAACACAAAACATTTAACTGTACAGTATTTATATTGTTCCATCGCAACAACTGACACAGACTGTTTATCTGTCCACGTGTCTATAATGTGCTCTTAGTTCATTGTAATTGTCAGATCCTCTCAATTGTTCAAAATTCTCATTCTCGCTTTCTCCTCTTATCTGAAATCAGCATTTATTTACAGAGTCATCATTATTCAGGGAATCATTGGTGTCCAATTTGCGACTACCTGTCTCAAGTTCACAATTATCTACACCATAAAATTTAGTTAAACACAAAACAGAACTAAAATTAAAATCACTTACTTCATTAGCTTCCACTCGTTACACGTGTCCACTATCAACTGAATGAGCAGTTCAATCAACAACCACTATCATCCGATTACACATACCCTGAATTATAATTCCCGTAGATGGTCGATAGCCCTCACTCACTTGTTCAAAATCGCGCGGATAACTGTACTGATAGATGGACTTTCTCACCTCGACAGAAACTGCCAAAACAGTGTGGCAGATGCCACTGAGTTGAGAAACACCCCACAAAAATACTCTCACAGAATCGGACACATCCACAGGTGCCTTGGTCAAAGTGGCAACAACAACAACAACAACAACAAAAATAATAACAGTCTACACACGGACCAAAATTAGAAAACATACACGGACATGAAGAAGTCTACCAGGAAAACTGAATCTTCACTGGTAAGCATACACCCAGGATTAACACAGGTCATCTGACCTACTATTATTCTTATTTTGGATCCAACATTGACCGCGCTTTTCGAACGGGAAGTTTTGTCCTAACGTGATTTGCATATATCAAACTTTTGCTGTGTTCTTACGCAACAAAAGTACCATTTCAGTTCTAAAGAATCTATCCTGAGCTATACGTTCGTTAAATTTTTTTTTCAGTTTCACTATATTTTTTATTTACCTGTGGTTTTGTTTCAGCTTACTATTCGGTTTTTTTTGTTTTTCACGTATAGACTAGTTTCAGTTTATATCACTCATTTTGTCCATTTTTGTCCGTTTTCAGTGTGCTTTTTAGTGTTTTTTTAAAAGGTCTTAGGCTCTTGCAAGCATCTTTAACATAATTTGCTTTAACACCGTCATGTAAAACTCATGCAAACGTCCGGGATGCCGTTTTGCTGTCACAACTGGCATGCAGTGCGACAACTGCAAAGGTTGATTCCACGAAGCATGCACAGATCTGACAGCAACTGCTTACAACAGACTCAGCAAGTGAGAGCAAAAGTGGGTGTGTGCCACGTGCAACACAGACTCCGTAGTCTTGCTGAGTAACATAATTGTCCTACTGACAGGTCTTCGGAACAAGTTGTCAGTTAACTTGGAAAACGATAGTAAAAAAACTGATATACAAACAAGAGCGTGCAACGGACTCAAAAACAGGGATGTCGATAGGTATTCCATCGATGGAGTATCCATCAACACTAACGACGACGTGTCGAGGCTCAGTACCATCATTACGTCGACGGTACTGAACTCCCTAGGCAAACTCGGGTCTCCCAGCTCAGGGTCCCCAAGCACAACAGTGGTTGCCAAAAACCCTGCAGGTGATTCGACCCACGTTAAGAGAGCCCAAAAGAACCAGGCATCACCGCCTAAGCCGAGCAACCCAAGTGTTGCTGCACGGAAAATAACTGGTGATTTAGTCGCACAGTCTACTCCCAAGACTGTTCGTCCGGTCAACAAAGAGCCCAAGATTCATAAACGCACACTGACCTCCAAACAACAAGTTATTAAACCTGAACCCATCGTGAAACCTGGTAAATTAACAACAGTTCGTGACGATTCTCTCATTATCATGAACCTCGTCGACAATCCTGACCTTCCTCTCAGTCTGCAGGATAAAAACGACAGGATGCTGTGGGGTGAATTGAACAAGAAGCTCGAACTTCCTAGAATAGAGCCTTTGACGGTCACCCGGCTCACTCGAGGAAAGGATTCTAAGCATCTAAATCACCCGAGGCTTCTCCGAGTAACACTTAAGGATGCTACCGACGTAGAGGACGTCTTGCTAGCAAGTCACTTACTGAAATCAGATGGTAACGTAAGAATACTGCCCGACATACCGTACTCTGAGTGCAATATCATACGGAACATCCCTAAAGAATCTCGCGAGAAGTTTTTCCGCGGAAGAAACATAATTGTCCAAGGTAAACCGGAAAATGCAGACCCTACTCAATCAAATTCTGACATCAGGGAATGGAAATTCATCAAACAGTCCTTGAGGCTCAAACACATACTGACTCAGCATGTGACGAGACTAGCCAAGAAGGACGGTGATCTTAGACCCCGTCTAATGAAGATAACCTTCCCATCTTTCCACATGGCGGCTGCAGTTCTGGAAGCATTTCGTGCTAATAGACGTCGATTGCCACCTGGAATCCACATGCACCCGGATAGGCCATACGAAGTTAGGACCAAAAACAAAGGCAAGTTGGAGCTGACCATTCCACTTGTGGACTGTCTAAACAGTAAAAAAACGTGTAAAGGACAGGGCCTACCACCTCGGCAAACCTCACATAGGTGGGCTACCTGTCCATTCACATAAGGTTCATACAGAAAAACAGGACGAAGCTCACGCGTTCCAAATTGAAAGCATAAACTGCTTATATATGAACGCCGCGAGTCTACCAAACAAACTGGATGAACTACGTGAACTTAGCAAAGCTAATAAGGCCCATCTGATAGGAATATCTGAAACCTGGATATCTTCTCAGTTCTCGGACCAAGAGTTAGCATTGCCTGGGATGACTTTGTTCCGCAACGACAGAAAAACAGGAATTGGGGGCGAAGTAGCCATATACATAAGCTCTTGCTTGGAGGTGCACCAGGTTCACAACCTCGAGTTTAACAATCTTGAGGAATCCATATGGTGCTCTGTAAGATTGTCTAGTACTTCCAGGTGTCTAGTCGGAGTCA